ATCTCCAATTCCAGCCTTCTGCCTAGAGAGAACAAGGGACAAAATATTATTCTAGAATCTAGAGCAAAGATCCTTCACTGGATCCTTTGCCTTCTTTTAGTAACTCTGCACACACAAAGGTAGTAGTCAAGTTGTTTATCAGCCTCTTTTCTCTCTAGCAAATTACACTAGCCTAACTTTTCCTGAAAATGCTTCATTTTCCCTGAAGAACTAATTTTTTTCAAAACTGATTTTCAACCTGCTTCCTGATTTCTGAGATTCTAATTGTGAAAAACAAACAAGAGACTGATAAAAGGATGCTCAATATAAATCTGTATATTATGACTTGCAGCACATTTCCAATGATATTTTTCCTTATCAGAGGACACAGGGCCCAGCTGTTCTACACATAGCACTAATGGATACTATTGTGGTATACTGTGGGACATTTATGATCAGAATCTCCCAAAATTCTTTTCTTATATCTTGAGGTTATAATGAACAACAGCAAGCCACTAAAACTAGGTGACTTTTCAGAGTCCCCCAGCTACAAATGAACTATCATAGAGCACTATGGAGCAAGGTAGCTTGAAGTCTCAGTTATGTATTTTTTAATAACTTTCCAGATGGAAGAAAGTTTGTCATACCAAGAAATTCTGCTCTCCCTAGAAAGTACATTTTTCGATTGATCTAGGATCCTAGATATTTGTCTGATTTCATTTATTTTTCCTTTAGAAAGAATTACTATTCATTAAGGACCAACTAGTGCCAACCTAAGATCATTACCCTTGCTTTATACGTGAGAAACTGCAGGTCACACAGATTTCAGCAACTTGCTCACGCATGCGGCTGGTTAGGGGCAGGTGAGATTTAAACATCTGGCTTCAGAGTTTGAGCACCTTAGTACTATTCTGTTCTGCCATTGCATACCACCAACAAGGGCAATCGGGATTCATCTTTACAATAGTCTAACAGGCCTAATATTTTACCTGTTGACACTTGATAAATTCACACTTCAAAAAATGAAATAATTTGACCAAGATTCACTCTTCTTTGATTGAAATCTGGAAAAAATACACAGGCTCTTTAATGCCCCGGCTTCCCTCTGCAGTGGCCAGGCATTCATGTCTGTATGATCAGATACAAGTCTGCAGCCCAGAAGGAGGCAAGAAACGGACTTAGTTGAGATCAGATCTTAAAGGAACAGATTATGAATTCTTGCCAGTGCTGACCTGAGTGTGGGTGAGAAAGATCAAAGGACTCATTGAGCAAGAGTGTCCCTGTAGATCCCTGCATCAGACCATGCTATTGAGTGTGAATATAAACTCTGCTGACTCTGGGGTGGGCAGTGCTCATTTTATAAGCAAATATATGGGTACTTATTTTATGTAGCTCATGTGAGTTCAGCTTGGCAGCCTCGAAAAATGCAGAAGCCAGATAGCTTTCTGCCAAGGTCCAACCTCTGCACAAGGCCAGTCATTCTCCACAACCCTGGGTGCTGCCTTGGCCTCCTCCGCTGTCACCCCCAACTCATGCAGCCCGAACCTGCACACAGCTTTGGAGGTAGAGCTTCCCCTAACTCACTGTTCTGTACTTTTGTTCATGCGTCTGGGTTTAGATGAATGAGGTTTACATCATTTTAACAAATATTAATAACTATTTTAATCACAGTAAATCTTTCATATGAGATATTCAAATACTTCCCAGTAGTCTTGAAGCCCTCAGTGAGAGTGAAGCAATCACGTTGCAAAGCTGTGCCAACTCTTTCAGGTCTTATGAGCCTCACTGGGGCTGGGTCTTGGCAATAAGAAACATGGTTGAAGAGAAGAAAAGTTCAGGGCAAGCTGCTGGTAAAATAGCACTCAATGTCCCACTCCCATTTTCAGGTGTTGTACTCCCACCTCTGGTTCTAATTTCCTTACATCTGTACTCTATTACTTCTATAGTGGGATATTTTAAAATATAGGTAAAAATATTAAAAGCTAAAGTCTACTGAATGTTTACTATTTGCCAGTGAACTTCGATACATTACTTTGTTCAATCCTCCCAGCCACATATAGACATCATTATCATCCCCACCTTACAGATAAGAAAACTGAGTCTCAGAGAGGCTGCCTGCCCCTGGTGATATGGCCAGTAAGTGACACAATAATATCCAAATGCAAACAGGTTTGTTTTCATCTAGTGATCTTTGCTGTCAATGGAATAGGCCTATCATTACTACCTTGCTGTTAAAAGCAAAATGGTTTGGGGCAAGCATTGTACAGTTTACAGATAACTGGAGTGGAAGAAAGCAGAGAGAGAGAGAGAGAGAGAGAGAGAGAGAGAGAGAGAGAGAGAGGGAGAGATTACTTCAAAAGACTAGTGAACTAGGAAGCTATAAAGTGAATTTTAAAATCCCTTCCCATTCATTGGATGAAGCTGAATGAACAACATATTCATGAGTCATTAGAGCTAGAAGGTATCTTAGGATCATGTAGTTCAAGCTTCTTATTTTACACGTGAGAAAACTGAGGAACAGAGAAATGAGTAACTGTTAAGGTTATTGTGATCATAAACATTGTGATCGTTTCCTCTGAGATTTGTTACTTCCTTAAGATACATCCTGGGATACAAATACAGACCAAATTCTAATACAAAATGAAATATTTTACTATGGTTCATCTCTTTATATGTGCAGTATAAAGAGATATTCGCTGCATCTCTGCATCATCTGTCTTAGCAGATGGAAGTTCTAGAACACTAGCAACAGTGTAGCACAAATGATGTCAGCATGATCAGTCTCCAGAATCATCAAAACCTTCTGGTTTCAAAATCCAAAATGTTAATGTGCCATTCTCAGGAAGACAGCTGGTCCTTGTAGTTTAACACTGATGTCCACTGCCTGTGGTTTGCATGTCTCCAAAGGAATTATCCTGCGGGGCTTGGAGAGTAACTATTTACATGTTTGCGCCATTGCTAGACAATGAGCTACACAGTGGGGTCCTCACTGAAAGAGACCATGTGCTGTCTTTGGTGTGCTATTTGCCTTAATACAAGCCCTGCCACAAAGTCTACAAATGTCCGTAGATTGAACAGTTCAAATGGATGAATGTAAAGCCACAGAAATCATTCTCACCAATGAAGCAATCTAATAAGAGGTTCATAATTAATTATGTAAATTATATGACACATGATAAAAATATGATGTTATTCCATATCATAATTATTGGTCCAGGTACAGACCTCATTAAACTTTAGACTGCTAAACTATTCAAACACTTTTCCAGGATTACATTGCCCTCCCCCAATGTATCAACTGGAAAAGTAGCCAATCGGTGTGAAGGTGTCATACACTACCATGATTTTTAAGAGCACAGAAAGTAGAGGCATTGAGGAAGTACCCTAGAAATACATTTTAATGGGATTTGGAAGGTCTTTTGATATATTTTTTCACTTAAGCCAATGTCTTTCAAAGAAACATGGACATTTCAACGAAGATATCTCTGTGAAAACTCAAGCTATGGTGAATATTTTAAAGATGGATTCATTCATATTTTTTGTTCAACATTGATTGGCTATTGTGCCATATGCCCTACTCTTGAGGAAATTACACTTGGGGTGGGGAGATAACGCATGAGATAAACACACAATCACATGAAAGCTAGATGAAAGCAACTGATTCTCAAGTCAGGCTCCCGGGCTTAAGTCCCACTCTGTATTTCACCAGCTGTGTGACACTGAGTGAGTTCTTTGACATCTCAAAGCCTGTGTCATCAAATGTAAAGGAAAAATTATAGTAATATCTATCATGCCAAGTTTTGGAGTGGATTGAATGATATAAATACTTAGCAAAATCTGTGATAAGTATCCAAAAATATCATCTATGTTAGAATGATCCTTATACTCCCATTATGGAAGTTTAATAGAAATATGAACAGAGAAGAGAGACCTAATTAACATAAGGCTGGGTTGGAGTGGATAAAAGCTATTTTCCTGGAGAACCATAAAATTGGTATAAATCATAGGCAGATTGAGTACACGCTGGTTGGACTTGGGATAAGAGATAGTTAATCTCTCCCTAAGAGAGACTGAGGGAGAGTCCAAAGGACTGGGGACATATAATCCCCTCAACCATTCAAGGCAAAGCTTAGACTTTAATCATCTAGACCAAAGAATAGGACAGTGAATGAAGCAAAGCAGGAAGTACAGAAGGCAAATTACTTACTTTGAAGACCACAGCAGGTCACTGAAGAACCTTAATCAGAGGAGTGACATAACAGAATACTGGAATAGTCAGCCTAACCATGGTGCAGCCCACAGTGGTTCAGAAAAGACCAGAGGCAGATGCCACTTAGCAGACTGGTATAGTCACACAGGTGAGAAAGAAAGGGATAAAATGTGGAAATTAATTGGATGTGAAGACAAAAGCATGGAGCAGTCAAGAAGGACTCTTGAGCTCTGGCTTGAGGGACGAGGTGATAGAAGAGCAGGTGTGGAGGTGCTGATGCTTTAAGCCTGGGGCATATAGCATTTCCAGCTCTTTATAGGACTTTCGAAGGAGCAATGTCTAGCAGGTATTTGGATAGAAAGATCTGTCACTCAGGAGAAATAAAAGATATTGAATCATAGGAGGATCCAATAAATGATTTTATGTGTTGAAAACCCTTGATCTAAGGTCATCTACCAAATCCATTTTTGTTGTTGTCATTAAAGATGAGAAAACGAAAGACAGAATGTATAGATCTTCTAGAAGATCAACTTTCAATTTTATTAAAGTGAATGACCAAATTCATTGGACAAAATACCGACTCTAAGGTCTCTTACAACTCTAACGCCATGATTCTATTGTTTCAAAGCATCATTGAGAAGCTAGGATTGCCTTTGATGACAGATACCTGTGGCCTTAAAACCTCCTTTGTGGGTATGCGGAGTAAGTTTTTAAAATGCAAGCTCATTGCCTGTAAAGTAATATAACCCCACACATGCGGTGATGATGCCATGGAAAAGAAAAGCCAAGTAAAGACACTATCTACATTTACCTACTCTGATCCCAATTGGCAGCAAACAGCAGAAGAATCTTCCTGCCGTAATGGTCACGGTTTTCCAGCACTCCAGGGAACCCATCAATCAAAGCCCTCTTAATGCCAGGATTGTCCGCCTTGAAGTTTTTGAACATGTCCAGATTTAGCTGGCGGTACTGGAAGTACTGGGCCAGGAGTCTAAAGGCATCCGCTTGGTGAAACTTCCTGGCTCGTAGAAATCTCAAGATGAAAGCATCATCTGTACGTAAAAATCCAATGTCAGGCCTGGTGATGATCATGTCCCTGACTTGCTGGATATCCTGATGTAAAACATCCGGGTTTTCATTCAGTTCCAGGCGTGCTTTCTCTATAGTATCTGGACTGAGTCCAGCCTGCAAATGGGTCATCTTGGCCAAATCTCCTTTCCAAGTGCTCAATCTCTGATGTTTTGGAAGAAGAAAGACTGGTCCCATTCACCTGATGGTGTACTGAACTTGTGGCCCATGCAACAGGTTTCCTACTGCCAGACTTCCACTGAAACAGACAAAGATGGGGTCTTCTTTCTGTTCCTGGAGAGCAGTAGGACATTCAGGCCCTACATGGTGGTGACCATTCCAAAGACAAGCAAAGTCGAGGCCATTGCTCACTGGAAAACAAATGCACACAAGAGAAACAAAACAGAGATGATACACGAACGTCTGGGCAAATCAGTTGGAGCCTATATAGAAAAGCAGTTACAATGGACTGTGAGTCTGATCAACAGCGATGCAAAGAGTAAATGGGGAGTAATCTTTTAAATGTGGTCTTTGACAACTTGAATGTTTAATATGCAAGTATTTGAAATATGTTTGGGAACTTCTTAGTTACATTGACTAGTTTACATAATGTGGTAGGGCCAGATTAACAATAGACTGCTCTTTTATTAATGACCCTCAGAAACAGCAGGACAGAAAGATCCTTCTGTATTATAGCATGCTTTATGGGGCTATTCACAGGTCTAGATATGGCAGAAAAATTATGGCTGCTGTACAATTTATTGGTTCCCACTAGCCTCCTTTCTCAAACAGAAGTATTTGTCACAGATGTATCCTTCCCCATGCCTTTTTAAAGGAAATTATTTGCAGTTTAATAATAAAAAAAGGACTGTTCAAAGTCACCCTAACCAAACCCCACAGGTGTCTAATTAATGAAAAGAGTCCTCCAACCAGTGGGCTTGGGGAGATAGGGCAAGCTTGGGGCTGGAAGCTTGGCCTTCGATAATCAAATTCAGTAAGCAGTGGCAAAGAAGGGCCACTGCTGGACAGTTATCAAGTTCTTGATTATTTGCATTTTCCACCTTTCTGCAAGGAGACCAAAAGGACTCAGAGATCTTGACCTGCTCTCTACCTAACAAAATAGCCACACGGGCTCAAAAACTTATTTCCATTTTATAACACTTTTCTGTTGTCCTGAGATACTGTTTTATGCATGATAATAGCTGTGTTCTAGCACTTTCGGGTATATTCCTAATGATTTCTCCACCTAAATGCTATAGAGAGAAATACACATATTATTTGCACTGTTTTCATTTTAAATATAAATGCTTAAGCTCTCGTAGACATTTTTTTATCCTATTCTGCAAGTTCCAAAAATCAAAAGACATTTGATAGCTGTGCATGGTGGTACATATCTCTAATCCCAGCTATTGAGAGATGGAGGTGGAGGGATCAGAAATTCAAGTCTGACCTGGAAACTTCAGCAAGACCTTGTCACAAAATGAAACTTTTGAAATGACTCGGGGATATATTTCAGACAACTTGCCTACCATATTCAAAACCCTGAGTTCAGCTCCTAGCACATAAACACAAAAAAATATATTAGGTACAAATAAACTTGGAACATTTCCTAGCTTATCTAGAGGCAGAGTTTTTACACTCAACCTAATTATTATTATTGATACTTCATGACCCAAAATAATTTAAAAGGCAAAATGAGTCTTCCTGCTTAATTTAAGACCATACCTTTCTATTTTATGACTTGAGACAGATGGAGATCATTTTGAGTGACATCATTCATTTTCAAGTAGATGGAATAATAAAATATATTTATTTATGAAATATTTGCTTTGTAAAGCCATAACAGCTAGCTCCATAATGAGTGACATAAGAAACAGAACAGAGTCTTGCTTCTCACTGACTTAATAATTCATATAACATAGAAATATAGAGCTGTGAACTATGACCAGGACTGGAGGAAACTTCTAAATCTATCTAGTTTGGTACCCAGCCAATATTGAAATTCCTTCTCAAATATTTCATCATACAATTTCAAAAAGCTTCCTCATCAGATGTCTCCCTCCTCCAGTTCATCCCTATATTCACTGCAATTTGTCTTTGACATGGGCTGAAACTGCTCTCATCAACCAGTGACGATGCAATTTATTATCCAAACGTACTAACAGGCACTAATAATAACGACGCTGCAATAAATTGAAATTGGGGCAGTTCTAAGCAAATCCAGGTAGATGGTCACCTTAGCTGGGAGTGACATCTTAGTAATTAGATGTAGCTATATCCAACAGATAAATCTCAGTATACCCAATGTAGGTGAGCTCTATCAATATTTGACATTGACTACTTCATTCTTTGTAGACCATTCCCTTCCATTCATCCATTCTTTTGTGTGACTCCATACCCCCATTTCTCTTCCTTCCTGCTTATTCTTCTCTTTCTGTGTGGACCACTGCAATGTTCTTCAGGATCCCATTTCCCCAGTTCGGTCATCCTCATTCAAATAACTTCCTGGCTTCCCATTCAGTTTCTACTGAACATCTACAGTTAGATGTCTCACAAACACCACAAACTTATTATGTTCAGAACTGAACTAATCATAGCTCCTCATCCTGAATTTGTTCCTCCACCTCCGTCTCCTAGGGAATGACATCATCTTCCTTGCAGTTTCCCACACTAGAAACCTGGGAGTCAGCTATTATTCCGCCCTCTCTTCACCACCCACTACCAGCAATCACTTCCTCAACATTTCTCAAATCCACCCAACTCTTTCAGCCCAATGATTACTGTCTTTGTTGAGACCACATCAGCACTCATCCATTTAGTCGTGAAACAGTCTCCCTCCTGGAGCCCTTGCTGCCAATCCATTCTCTGGATTCCAATTTATTCTCTGTATTAACAACGGAAATATGCTCATGACATTCCTTAATCAACATCCATCATTACCTCCCAAGTGTCCTAGAATAAAGTATACAACTCCGTAACATGGATCTCAAGAGCCTTCATTGTCTGGTCCCTACCTATCCCTCCAGAGTCACCATTTGGCCATGCAGTGGAGACCACCGAGTCTCTTCTCTCCTTGTATGCTTCAGTACAAGCTGACTTCTAGCTAGGATGACCAATGATTTGAAAGGTATTTGCCCAGGAATCCCTCCCTGACCTTCAGAGATCACAATATCCCTACCCGCCTAATTATACCTAGCTTGATTGCTGTTTTCCCTTCCGCCTCTTCATTCGGTACACCTTGTGGAAAGAGCTGGCTCTCACTCACCTGTGTGTCTATTACAATGTGTCATAAAGAGGCTCAGCTCCAGGAGCACAGCAATTCCGCTGTGTTCACCACCTAGTTCCAGGGCCGAGAACAGCACATCCGTGAGGGAGGGGCTTAGTAATTAGATGTAGCATAAATGAATAAAAAATAGTCGAATGCTGTTTGCATGAGTGAGTAAGTGATTTTTTCCTCTGGTACCTCTAGGACTGTTTCCCTTTAACAGAGGGATTGCAGCTCACTTGTAATTTCTTCCCTCATCCACAAGGTGTTTTCCCCAGAGACTTTTGCCTAGGCACATCATATTTCAGATCCTCCTCTCCCTGAAGCAGGGAGGGTAACATTTGCAGTTCCAGGCCAGGGAGCACAGTGCGAAGGGCACAAGGCACAGCAACAGCTTGCTCCCTGTAGAAGATTTAAAGCTGCTGAGAATGAGTCACTTACATACAGTTCAGGGAACTCAACAGTGTTTCTGAGATAAATTACTATAGGTTCAAGGAGAAAGTTGAGCTTGCATTTTTCATGGCCCGCTTCCACACATAGCTATGCCTCTAATCTATAATAGCGGAAATAAATTTGCACCAATCTACATCTTTATTCAGTGCTCAGCACACAGTAGAAGCTTCTGGGAGAAATACTCAAGCCAGGTTCACTAGGTTTCATACTTGAGATGAAACAGATATTTTCCATTAAAGACACATCCTTCATACCAAAAGTCCAATAGACTTCTATTTAAATAACTTCAACTGATAGTTAAAGCACTTAAAAAGTTATATGAAGAATGTTCATCAGGATGTAACATTTTCAAATGACTATAATTTGTTCTTTTCATTCAATTTTTCTGAATTATATGTAGATACATTGGAGTTGTTACATGAAGAAGTGGGAGTGGTTTTCTGTACTGATGTTATTAATACTAATAGCTATAAGTTAATATTTATCATAACTATATTTCTTAGGTTCCTAAAACTTTGTATGCTATTTTTATATAGTGCAACATTTCATCCTTAGACAGCTGTACAAATGAGTGAAACTGAAGTGCATAGAATTGAAATGATTTCCCCCTGATGATACAGTGACTAAGAGGCAGAAACTGGATTCAAGCTTGTTCACACGGGAAGGGGAACTAGGGCGGGGCAGCAGAAAGGAAGGAAGGTAAAAGAAAAACTGAGGAGAAAAAGGAGAAATGGAAACAAAGCTTTTGGAAATAAGGAGGGAAGAGGGGTTGAAGGGAGGGCAGGGGAACGGGCATAAAAGGATCAAGTTATGTCCTGCACGGGTACAAATTCCTTATGATGAAAGTGATCCTTATGTATACCTAAAATGTACCAATAAACTTAATTGATAAGAAAAGAAAACTATTGGACAAAATGAGCAGAAAGCAGTGACCAGATGTGTTTGAGAAACTAAAAGAGAAGATTAAAGGAAAAACTGGCTCTGCAGAGCGAGCTTGGACCAAGTAACAGGAGAAAAAGCAATGAAAAGACGCCCTGGAGAAACAGGGTGGGCTACCACAAGGAAAGTCAGGATAGCAAGTTCCTCTTGGTGCTTGTGTCCTTTTATACTGTCCAAATCTCCAAGAAACCCATGAGAACTTCTATATATTGGTTCTGAGAAGCAGTGCAGGGATCCACACCTAGCTGATGTCAGGTCAGTCATATTGAAAACCTGCTGGACTGCTCCCAAGAAGTGAGGGGCTTTGGGAACTCTTCTGCACAAGTGTCCTGGGATCTTTGCAATTAACTGGTCATGTCTACTTCCTTCACCAGCTTTGCCACACCCTAATCTCCTATCTCAGTACCAAAGATGACAGTACAAAAGTAATCGAGTCATAAAGAAATCAACACTGACAAGCTCTAGTTTGTGCCTTGAATACCAAACCAGCCACAGGTACTGTTATGAGTGCATCAGAATGTGTCAAATACCAAAGTCAACAAGTTTCAAAGCAGGCAAGCACCAAGATTTACAGGATCCAGAACTTATTTGTTGTAACCTCCACCCTGTGAGAAGTACTCAAGTAACCTTTCCTTGAACTGTGCTCTTGACTAACACGTTGTTCTGCCTCTTATGTGTAACAGAAAGGTTTAAATGTGTACTACATAAGACCTA